CCCCATACACATTTATACACACTTTGTCTCTGGTAGGAATGTACGATCAGCATAAATATTGAGTTCTGTAGGATGAGATTACTATATCTTAACATCTATTTTGGCTTTAAGTTTTTTTCCAATATGGGATGTCTGTTATTGGGTAAATGCATCATGTTTAAATACCAATCCATAAATAAAATAGATGAAAATACTAATGTTTACTAAACAATTCACTAGTTATATTCATGCATTCATAACTCATTTCTTCCTCATTATACACCAATGAGTTTTATTAGTCACCTCCAATTTGCTATATTTGAAGTGAAATACTTAAGATTGAAAGAAATATTATGTTTCCACTGAATATATACACTCATATTATACATGTACATACTTGTAATGTATGTAATTCATTATACATGTGTATATACATATATACATTATATGTATAATATGTGTGGGTGTAATTGCATTTTAAAAGGCTCTTGAATGAAACTGCCAACAGTGGTAAATTTAGAGAAACTAGGGAAAGAGAAGTAGCCAAAGGGGAGTTTAGTTTATCTGTAATGTTTAAAATTTTGTAAGTATAAGACATCCATAGATTATTTCAGAAATAAAAAGTAAGAAAAGGAAACAAGCTTACAAAACGCAAACAGGATGTTGAAAGGAGCATTGTTTTTAAAGGCAAAATTTAGAAGAAAAACATTTTATCAATATATTAATAAAATAATAGTAGAGCCATACAGATGAATACTAACTCTATTTTTTTTAAAGATTTTATTTATTCATGAGAGACACAGAGAGAGAGAAGCAGAGACATAGGCAGAGGGAGAAGCAGGCTCCATGCAGGGAGCTTGATGTGGGATTCCATCCTGGGACTCTGGGATCATGCCCTAAGCCAAAGGCAGAGGCTCAACCACTGAGCCACCCAGGTGTCCCAATATTAACTGTATTAAATTAGGATAATGATATAATAGTTAATGACTTGGAAAACTATTCATGATATACTCTACCATAGAAAAGATAATTTATAACATGGAGTTTCTTTTAAAATTTTCTGAAAGGATTTATTTTGACAATTTTGAGAGTGGGTTTCTTTTGTGCTTTCTGAAATTAAAAAAAAATACAACAAAATATTAATATTAAGAGGAACTCTCTTCAAAAAGGAATATAGCTCTATTTGTGTTGATATAAAAAAAGTAGTCAAAGCCACCCACCACCGCCGGGGAAGCACCCCCTTGGCCATAGTAACCATCAATAATGCCTTTCATCTTTGAGTGGATATACAATGGCTTCAGCAGTGTGCTCCAGTTCCTAGGACTCTACAAGAAATCTGTAAAACTTGTATTTTTAGGTTTGGACAATGCAGGCAAAACCACTCTTCTACACATGCTCAAAGATGACCGATTGGGCCAACATGTTCCGACATTACATCTGACATCAGAAGAGCTGACAATTGCTGGAATGACTTTTACAACTTTTGAGCTTGGTGAGCTGGGCAAGCATGCCGGGTTTGGAAAAATTACCTCCCAGCAATTAATGGGATTGTCTTTCTGGTGGACTGTGTAGATCATCCTCACCTCGTGGTATCCAAAGTTGAGCTAAATGCTCTAATGACTGATGAGACAATATCCAATGTGCCAATCCTGATCTTGGGTAACAAGATAGACACAATCAGTGAAGAAAAACTCTGGGAGATATTTGGGCTTTATGGACAGACCACAGAAAAGGTAAACATGACCCTGAAGGAACTGAATGCGTGCCCCATGGAAGTGTTCATGTGTAGTGTGCTCAAGAGGCAAGGCTACAGTGAGGGCTTCCAGGGCTTTCCCAGTATATTGATTGATGTTTGGACAATGAAAATAAAAGTTTTCCTTCTCTGGGCTGATCCTATTCATAGCTTCCTCATGAACTTTTCTAATAGAACAAGGAAAGCTCAACCATGTCAGGCGTTGAGAAGCCAAGAATCTCTGTCAGCTCTCTCATTGCCCAGTGGTGACACGTGCTCTTCTCCACACTGTTGGGAGGTGATGCTGCCCCACATGCTAGCAGGATTTACTGAGTAAAGGTGTGTGCCATCATTGGGCACCTGAAAAGAAAAACACATCTCACCACTGTGGTTGATTTCAAAAGAAATTAATTCTACTTTTTAAGAAAAGTGTTGTTAATGTAATTGGTGTCCCTCCTACTAATTTTTTGAGTTAAAAATTTCCTTGGTCCAGAGTTTTCTATTCTTTTTTTTTTGATCTAGTGAATGGCATTTAGATACTTCATAAAATTATGCACAGAAACACATTGGAGGCCAGAACTCCAATGTTGCGTTAGCAGGTCAGTGAGAGAAGCTCCCTGTGTCTGGCTGCAGGGCAGTAGGTGGCCCCACCTTGTGCACTGAGGAGCCAGGAAGGGTGGGGCCTGGCCTGGCACTTGTAGCAGGTTTCCACCATGGAAGCCAGGATCATTCCTCATTGTGGTATGTAGGGCAGATTGTTCACTGTGGAGGACTTCTTTAGAGAGGGGTTATTTTATTATTTTTGTTTCTAAAGTTACAAATTTCAGCCAGTCTTTGTTTTTATACTGTTGGGAAACTTTGTTTCTCTCCATAGCACCTTTTTCATTCAGTTTCATAAAAAATGACTCTTGCCTCATGAAAGAGAACATCTCCCATGTTGTCCTACACTGCAGGTGTGTGTCTGTTACTTTTGCACACATTCTAGGGGAAAATTTTTTGAAGAGGTGAGTCCCACAGGACAATTAACAGCCAAAAGGCTTTTAATTCTGTGAGTTGAGAACCTAAAAATCTGGTATTTGTAGCATTTGTTTGGATCCAGGAAAGATTTATTTAGTGGGCTTTATTATATGTGCTGCTGAAGTGAGCACTACTTAGTGGGCTTTAAAATTCTCACTTGCAGGATTTGGTCTCTTTGTGGGATTGTTCATGAGCTCTTTTTATCGGTTACCTTGTGTTTTTTTGTTGTTGTTGTTTTGTTTTGTTTTGTTTTGGTATGAAATTGCCTTTCTCCATTCCAGAAGTAAGCTGGGGAAACTCTAAGGGCTTTGTGTAGTGCTATTCCTTTTGAGCCAGCATCACTTGTAAGAGCTCAGTATAAAAAGCCTCAGCATGCCCAGTAGTGTGATGAAGATAATTTTTATAGCACTCCTTTTTCTTGGTGCCACATGTAAAATTGGATTTTCATGATCTTGACCAATATTAGATCTTTCTTAAGATGAGTAGATATCTTCATTTTTCTTTAATGAGAGATTAAAAGTAGTTTCCTCAAAACAAAATTGTGATGATGATGTTTATTTGCAAAAGATTGAACTAAATTCAGTGTATTCTTGTGTCTAATGTGAGGGTAAGGAAAGTGTGGATAACATATTCCAGAGGTGAGAGTATTGTTCTTTAATGGATTTCTCATTGTTAGTCTTCAGCACTGACCTATTAGAAAAGCATACTTCCTCACTGCCAGGTACCAAATGCAGAGGCTCAGTAAAGAATAAATCTGGAGAGAGCATGCCTTTTTCTTTATTAGCAGGCATAGCTGGAATAAAACAAAATTATGGGTTTGGAAAGAGGTGAAAGCCTTAAATGAACAAATCTAGCTAATGGTGAATGAACTAGGTAGTTACCTTGCACACTTTTAATTCCTTTGGCTAAAGGTAACCCATACTTCTTTATCCAGAGACATGAGAAGTATGATTGCAGTGCTAGTTTTCTTGTTTTACTTTTTTCCTATTTGTCCCTAATCACTTTGCAGCAAGCTAGAAAACTGTGGATTCTACACAGCTCAGCTCTTTGTGAAAGTGGTTTATATTGACCACTGGAGAAAGAGGGGATTGAAAAGTCAGTTGGCATTCGTCTATTTCTTGCTCCACAGAAAACACTGTTCCTATAATAAGATAGCAAAAGAAGCTACTGTGAGGAGCTTGGCTCTTAACAGTGAGGATCAGAACTTTGTACAGGAATTCCCCAAAATTGAGACTTTTCATTCTGTTTTATCAGAGTGCATATATGTCCTATTTCAGGAAAAGTTAAAACAGTCATTTACAAAAGAAAGTCAATCTGTATCTAAGCATTTTAATAAAAAGTTAAACAAACAAAAAGATATAAACAAAGTAAAAATAACAAACAAGGTACAGGCATAATTACAGATATATAAATATATATATGTATATGTATATATATGTAAACATATACATATTAATGATATTTAAATTGTTATCCTGAAACTTAACCTTATAAAATAAAAAAAAAGCTTATATAAAAAAAAGCTTATATAAATTAAAATATATTACCAAAGCGGCAGGAAAAGCAACTGGAAAGAATAAGTAGTTATAGGTTCAAAATCTTGGAGAAAAAAAAGCCAGCAGAATTAACAATTTTAATGACTAGTAAATATACATAAGACAAAAATATCTAGAGGTAAATTATGAAAAGTAAAATGAAATTCTAGGACTACTCCTTAAATTCTCTGATATTTAAGGTTGACGAGCATGGAAGTTTTTCTTTTTTTTTTAAGATTTTATTTATTTATTCATGAGAGACACAGAGAAAGAGGCAGAGACATAGGCAGAGGGAAAAGCAGGCTCCCCATGGGGAGCCCAATGCAGGACTCGATCTCAGGACCTCAGGATCACAATCTGAGCCAAAGGCAGAGGCTCAACCACTGAGCCACCCAGGTGCCCTAGTTTTGATTTTCTTCATTCACAGTTATAAATTCCTAAGTAAGGAGTGAACTGTTAAAAAAAATAAAAAATTGAAAAAAGGAGTGAACTGTTGATGGTATTCTGATATTTACTATACATCCTTTAGGCAACTTTGATTGTGAAAAGCAAATAAAAGGCTCTTCATATTAATTATAGGATCTAATGAGGTTCTATCTCAAATTAGGTGAAATCCATAATGCCATTCCCACAGATAATTTTCAGAGCTTCTTACCAGCATGACCTTTCTGATGTTAAGATCTGAACTACACACAAAAACCGTCCCGCATTCTTTGTATTCATATCCATAAAGTTACTCACCATTATGAATTCTCCGATGTTGAGAAAGGTCTGAGGAACAATGAAAGGCCTTTCTACATTCCTTACATTCAAAGGGTTTCTTACCAGTATGAATCCTCTGCTGTCAGTAATGGCAGAGCTACTACTAAAGGTTTTCCCACTTTCTTTACACTCATAGGGTTTCTCACCCATATGAATTTCCCAGTGTTGGGATGCCTGGGTGGCTCAGTGGTTGAGCAGCTGCCTTTAGCCCCAGGGCATGATCCTGGAGTCCTCGGATCAAGTCCTACACCAGGCTCCCAGCATGGAGCCTGCTTCTCTCTCTGCCATGTCTCTGCCTCTCTCTCTATGTCTCTCATGAATAAATAAATAAAATATCTTTTAAAAACATCCCCCAGGGGATCCCTGGGTGGCACAGCGGTTTAGCACCTGCCTTTGACCCAGGGCGCGATCCTGGAGACCCAGGATCGAATCCCACATCGGGCTCCCAGTGCATGGAGCCTGCTTCTCCCTCTGCCTGTGTCTCTGCCTCTCTCTCTCTCTCTCTCTCTCTCTCTCTCTCTCTCTCTCGTGACTATCATAAATAAATTAATTAATTAATTTAAAAATTTTTTTAAAAATCCCCCAATGTTGACTAAGGTCTGAAGGGTGATCAAAGGCCTTTCCAGGGATGCCTGGGGGGCTCAGTGGTTGAGCATCTGCCTTCGGCTCAGGGCATGGTGAGCCATCCTGCATCGGGCTCTTTGCTGGGAGCCTGCTTCTCTCTCTGCCTCTCTGTGTCTCTCATGAATAAATAAAATCTTTTTTTTTAAAGGGCCTTTACATTCTTTACACACATATGGTTTCCCACCAGTGTGAATTCTCTGATGTTCTATAAGCATAAATCTATTTCAGAAGGTCTTTCCAGGGATCCCTGGGTGGCGCAGTGGTTTAGCGCCTGCCTTTGGCCCAGGGCATGATCCTGGAGACCCGGGATCGAGTCCCACGTCGGGCTCCCGGCATGGAGCCTGCTTCTCCCTCTTCCTGTGTCTCTGCCTCTCTGTCTCTCTCTGTGTCTATCATGAATAAATAAATAAATAAAAATCTTAAAAAAAAAAGAACAAAAAAGTTTAGTGACAGCTAGGAAGTATAAACGGATTACGACCCAAGATTGATTTTTTTTAATGATTTAAAATTTTTGTCCATGGATGACTAATTTTTGCATATGGTAAATAAAAGATAAATGATGGAAGGAGAAAACTGAACACTTTGCACCCTTATCTCCCAGATAGCCAATATTCTCCAAGCAAACAGTGCGTTCACCACCCTCCCACCACAATATTTGTGCAGTTTATATGTGTGTAATAAATATGATAGACTTTATCAAAAATATTAACTTGTTATACACACCTAAAATATTTGTAACTTCATATTAATATATATCCCTTTTCTTTTAATTTGCTATGTATTGTCCATTGAATAGATGTATGATTATTTAACCAATATATTACTATAATTGACCCTTCCTCCTCCTTTTGCTACTACACTAATGCCATAAATTATGTTCTCGTTTCTGTGGATATGTCTCAGGACATCTGTTTCATAAATTTTGGAGAAATGGGTACCTGCACTTTAAGTTTTGATAGGTATTTGCTACTGCCCTCCTTTAGGTTATGGCAATTTAGCTGTCCAACAGCAATATGTGTAGATCCCCGTTTTCCCAGTCTGTGGCTAAGATATTAGATACCACACTTATCGTGTCAATCTGATGAGTGAAAGCTACATCTCTAAATTACATATACCTTATTGGGAAAGGAGATAAAAAATTTTATTTCAAAGGAATAATAATTCCTTTGCAGCTTTTCTGCTGTGATATATCTTTTTCATACCCACCTATTTTCTTTTAGATCACTGTTTGTATTTTCTCTTAATGATTTGTGTTACCTACTTTTGTTATTAAGTTATATAGACAGTTTTATATTTAAAATTTTTCTCAACTTGGGATTTATATATTTCAATAGTGTCTCAAAACATTGTGTTTGCATAGTTTTGTATGCAAAATACACAAGTATATTTTACTTCAGTGGCTTTATGGTTTTGAGTTAATTTCACATTATTTTCTTCTATGGATTTATCTAGGATTTTTTGGTTTCAATTCTTAATCTACAACTTTGATTCATTTGCATTTTATTTTGCTTTGAGCTACCCATTAAGGATCCAATTTTTTTCTCTCTCCCATGTGGCTACTCAATTAGATAAGGCCATTAATTTTTCAATCTATGTTTTACAGATATGTCTATATTTTAAACATGTCCTATAAATCAGTACACTCTGTAAAATAGTCACAATAAATACCCTTGGGAAATTTAAGTCAATCACACAATATTAATCTAATATATGTACATATTCAAATTTCTCCCAATTAACCTAATGATTATTTTAAATTTTATTTTAAGTGATCTCTGCACCCAATGTGGGGCTTGAACTCATTATCCTGAGATTAAGAGTTGCATGCTCTTCTGACTGAGCCAGCCAGGTGACCCCCAACAATGATTTTAAAGTTTCTTATAAAATCCAAGACACAAATATCATGTACTCCACTTAGTTGGCATATTTCATTAGTCTGCTTTGATCTAGAACAGTTCACAGCTCTCTTGTACCTCAAAGTTCATACTTTTGGTATCCACACTGATTTTCTCTCCCAGAACGTTCTACACACTTAAGAAAATTATTTCCCCTTGTTGAACGTCAGGTTAAATATCTTAGACAAGAATAATCCATAGGTGATATTGTGTCTTTTTTAATGTATCATATCAAGGGCCACTTGATGTCACTTTTTCCCATTTCTGATGTTAATTTATTTCCTTAAGACTGTAGTTAACAGTCCTATCTACTTAAAGCTATATTTTCTCTTTTTATTTTTGAGTAAACTATGGAGTGATGCTTTCAGACTGTTTGAATAAATATGGATACAAATTTGTCCTATTTATGCCATATGACTACTAAAAACATTTGTTGAAAAATCTATGAGTAATACATACATATGAAATAATACATCCAACTTTTCAAGATTTATAACAATTCAAAGGGTCTTAAATGATCCAAAATGGCTTCATTATCATATACTATTTTTCCTATGTGTTTGGATCTGGACTTTTAAGTAGTTCTAGTGGTTCATTATATTTTTGCTAGAGCTACACTCCTAATTATTATAGAGTTATATCTTAATATCTGATAGTTCTAATTATGCAATTCCCCTTCTTCAGAATTTTACTGGTTATTTTGATTTCTTTATTTTTCCATATAGACTTTAGAATGAACTCATGTTTAAAAAAATTCCTGGGATTTTGGGATTGCATCACATTTATAACCTAAGGAATGATGGACTCTTAATGATGTCAGAACTGCAATCCCACCATATCCTTTTATTTTTTCATTTTCTGATTACTTTGGAAAATTTTTATTTATTTTTCTATAATGATTGTGAACATTTCTATTTCGTTTAATTTCTTGAGCTATCAGCTCTTTTTTGGGGGGGGCGTGACTATAAAAGCACTTTTTTTCTGTTGGATCTTCTATTTTTAAAGAATATTTGAACATGAATTCATTGACTTCTCTATGTTAATTTTCTACCAAGGCAACTTCAGTTTGGTCTCTCTCTCATTATAGTTTAATGTGCAAAAGGGTGATAAAATGTAATTTTTTTTCTCCTGGATCTAGGTGAAGCCACAAAGTAACTGTGGATATCTCTCCCTGTCTCCCTGTCTGTGGATATCACTGCAGGGTATGCAACAGAACCAATGAACACCAAATTTTCTCCTATAATTCAAGAACTGAAAGATCATTTATATCATAGGACTGTGCAGCGTAATTTTTTGCAGTGACAGAAATGTTCAATAATATGCTGTCCAATACAATGGCCACTGGCTACAAACAGCTGTTGAGCACTTGAAATGTGCTTAATGAAACAGGAAATGAATTTTAAATTTTCTTTAGTTTAAACCTGACTTTAAATAGCTACATGTGTCTACTTGTTAATGTAATGAACACTAAGGGGTAAAAATATCAAAGATGATGAAAAGTAGGATTGGCTTTGAGATAAAGAATTACTTAAAAGTGTTAGGTAGTTAGCTACACATGAGCAAGGAGGGATAAAGCAGATGCTGGCCACATCCTCAGAGCCATCCCTCAGAGTTAACAGCCATACCTTTAGAGCCACCTCTAAGGGTCACAAAACAGGAAAGGCCTAGCCACAGAGCTGGCTCAAAAACCACAAGGGGATGTCCAAGAACTGAGCATGCACACAAAAGGTGCAACTTTCTCTTAAGTAACCTTAGGGTCACAGCAAAAGCTCATTAGAAACTCAAACAATATACAAATAAATTTAATTATGATAGACTGCATCATGCATAGGCACATGCACACTTATCTACTCAATAAACTCTCTTTCTCCATTCTGGTCTTAGGTCTCCCAATTCTTTGGTGCATCTGGGACAAGAACTGAGGTACTCAGTAACAAAAGTTGTTTTGTGTAGTGTATTCCTACCTTCATTAATGAAAAGATGGTTGTTTTCCTCTTGCCTCAAAAACAAGCAATGAGGCCATTGAAGTAATTATATCTTATTTCTGTGCTTCAACCCTAAAACCTTTATACACTGCTTTACGATTTTGGAATTAGAGACTCGTATTCCAGCTTTTCGATTCCTATTAGGCTTTGCTAAGTGGAGTTTCAAAAAAATACTGAAAGTCTTAAGGAGGAAAAAGAAGCTGGCCAGCTCATTCTTGCCTCCCAGTTCTGTATCGTTAACTATTCTTTCTCCAGAAATGCTCTTTACATTGTGTGGCAGAAGACAGAAAGCAGAATTTTAAGATGACTCCTTAATGACACACATTTGACTGTAAAGCAAATAAAATGTGGCAGAAATTATGGTATATAATTAAGTTATATGGCAAAGGTGAAGGGATTTTGGAAGATAAAACAAAAGTCCCTAAACAGTTAATCAAAAGGGAGATTATCCTGACTGGGTAGGATCTGAGCTTTTAAAAAGATCTATATGTCAGAGACAGAAGTAAGAATATCTTATGCTGTCCTTAAAAAGCAAGCCACCATTGGTACAGCTTCAAGGAAATTAATTCTGCCAACAAACAAGTGAATTTGGATGATCCTGAGCCTTCGGTGAGACACCACCCCCAGCTGACACCTCAACTGCCACCTTGTAAAACTGAGCAGAGGACCCAGCTAAGCTATGCCCTCACATGTACCCATGAAAACTTTGAGATGAGAAGTGTGTTTCTTTAAGCTGCCAAAATTGTGGCAATTTGTTTTGCAGCAGTAGAAATGTAATAAACCCTATTAGTGGCCATAGTTCCTAGTAGAAGCTGTTGATTCCTGTTTGACATTGTTCCAAACTTTCAGAATCACCTGTATCATACCTCCCCAGAGACATCAGCACAGCACTAGCCAAGCTAACCCCCACTCTTAAGGCAGTCTGAATCCCAGATACATGGAAACTTCATCCATATCCCTGTGGCACCAGTACCAGATTTTAGGTATTAATTATTGTAATACATGTCTGGATTTATGTTTTAATTTTTTTTACATGTCTGGACTTAGAGTTACAAGTTCTATGAGTAATTTTGTCCACCTCCCACAGGTTTTGCTGTATAGGATACTAGTGTCCTTTATATTCAAAGAAATCACAGTTTGTTCAATTTCATCCTTAGCCAAATGTTGGTTTAAACATGCATTGGATCAAGAGTCAAATATTTCTACAATCCAGTATTATTTTTAATCAGTCAGATAATGAGGGCAATAATATTCTCAATAATGTTTCATGCTGACATAAATTCAACATATAAAATTAGATATGAGTAAAGGCATTATTCATTATAATTTTATGGGTTTTTTTTCCTTCAGGATAGATCATCTCAATACCAAGAAGGAATGAATGATGATGGCTTTGCTATATTCACTAGAGGTTTTATATTTTTCTCCAGTATTAAATTTCTAATACTAAATCAAATATACACCATAGTTAAGAGCCTTTATAAATAATAAAATAGCCAAAAGAAAAAAATAATTTTAACAACGGATTATATTTACTGAGTATGTTAAAGTCTTAATTATAAGCATTTGTGTAGATTAACTCATTTGATCCTTACCAAACCCAAGATGTTAGTGAATATAGCCATGCCTATTTCACATAAAGAATAATGATATATTATAGGCTTTTAATGTAAATACATTGAAGTGGAAATGAATAATTTTTTAAAAAATTAAATGTCCCTATGTTATATTTGAGCAAAATCATTAGGAAAAATTCTGCAAGGATAAGTAACATGGAAGAGAGGAGAGAAAAATGGCATAACACAGTATGGTCAAAAGGGCAGCCAGTTTAATCTGTCATGTTTAAAATATGTACATGTTAAAAGGTATACATGGATTATCTCAAAAACAATGTAAAGTAGACAAGTGAATACAGTATGCCAAGTAGGATGCTAAACATGGCATTCCTTATAAATACAAAAAGTGGAGTCAGTCAGAGTATTTGACCATAGATGTTTGGTAAAAATAATCGTACAATCATATATATTAAAACTATTAAACACTTAATTACGGAATGTCCTATATGACACACCTTGTCATTAAAAAGGCAATTTATGAGGCAATTTGAATAACATGATTACACTTGCTTTAAAAAATTTATAAAAGAATTTGTTCCAGCAATTTGACAATAGTTATAGCCACTTTGGGGGAAGAAAGCTAACTTTATTGACTTCTTTGTAGAATTTAAAAATTCAGAGAAAATTATTACAATAAAATATCAAATTTATGAAATAAAAATATTAATTTACATATACAAATAGTTCTATCACTTTATCAATATCAAAATATATATCTTAAACTAATGATATTTTACTTTTTAAAGATTTTATTTTTAAGTAATCTCTTCACCCAACATGGTGCTCAAACTCACAACCCAGAGATGAAGAGTTGCATGTTCTACTGACTGAGCCAGCCAGGCACCTCTTAAAGTAATGAGGGAGAGAGAGACACAGGCAGAGGAAAAAGCAGGCTGCTCACAGGGAGCTTGATGTGGGACTCAATCCCAGAACTCTGGAATCATGCCCTGAGTCAAAGGCAGACACTCAACTGCTGAGCCACCCAGGTGTCCCAGTAATGATATTTTAAATAAAATGGTATAGATGCAAAGACATGCAGGTAAAAATTTATTATAAAAAAGATCAATTGAAGATCTCCCAAATTGGATGTTGGAGTATAAAAAGATGGTCATTAAATCCAAGCTTATAACACTAAAAATATAAAATGTCACAAAACTGTGCATAAATAGCATCAGGAAGTCGTTACTGATTAAGTTGTACTGGAATAAGAATTTTGGTGAGAATATAAATTTAAAAATTTAATATAAAATGTATAATAATATAGTATTTTAGCTATGCATAAACCAAACTACTTATAGCTTTATAAAAAATAAAGTGGGTTTAAAATATTTTAAAATATGAAAATGCAACAAGAGATTTTTCACTTTCCTCCACTCATGGTTAGTAAGTTTTTAAAATTTAAAAGGAATGAACTATTAATAGAGGTCTTACAATATTCATTTTATTCTTATGGTAGTTAAACTGTAAACACATAAGGCACATAAGGCATTGTCGTATTAATTTTATTTCTATATTTTCTTACCAATAAATTCTTAGAATTTCTCCTATTACATTTCTAGGGTTTATCTTTCATGTCATGTTACTGCAAGAAATGCTTAAAGGTCTTACAAAGCTTCCTTTCATACTATTTCTTCCCAGTATGAACTTTTTGATGGCGATTAAGATTTGAGCCTCTTGCAAAAGCCTTCCCACATTCCTTACACTCATAGGGTTTCTCACCAGTATGAATTCTTTGATGCAGAATAAGGTCTGAAGAACGAAGAAAGGCTTTTCCACATTTGTTACAAGTATATGGTTTATCACCAGTATGAATTCGCTGATGCCGGGTCAGGTATGTTGCACAAGTAAAAACTCTCCCACATTCATTACATTCCCAGGCTTTCTCACCAGTGTGAATTTTCTGATGTTGTATAAGTATTGAATCTCTACTCAAGATTTTTCCACATTCCTTACATTCATACAGTTTCTCATCACCATGAATTAACTTGTGTCGAGAAAGTTCTGATGAACGACGAAAGGCCCTTCCACATTCCTTACATTTGTAGGGTTTCTCACCAGTATGAATTCTCTGATGTTGAGTAAGGTCTGAAGACTGACGAAAGGCCTTCCCACATTCCTTACATAAATAGGGTTTCTCACCTGAGTGAATTCTTTGATGTGCTGTAAGTATTGAGCCAGTACTAAAGGCTCTTCCACATTCCTTACATTCATAGGGTTTCTCACCAGTGTGAATCCTCTGATGCCGAATAAAGGCTGAAACATTACTAAATGCCCTAACACAGTACTTACATTTATAAGGTTTCTCACCAGTATGAATTCTTTGGTGTTGGGTAAGGTATGAGGAATGACGAAAGGCTTTTCCACATTCTTTACACTCATTGGGTTTCTCACCTGTATGAATCCTCTGATGTACTCTAAAAATTGAACTAGTACTAAAAGCTTTTCCACATTCATTACACTCATAGGGCTTTTCACCAGTATGAATCCTCTGATGACGAATAAGGGCTGTACCATTACTAAATTCTCTAACACATTCCTTACATTTAAAGGGCTTCTCACTTGTATGAATGCTATGATGTAGAAAAAACTGTGAGGCATTAGTAAAGGCCTTCTTGCTTTCCTTAAATTCATTAGATTTCTCCCTAGTAAGAATTATCTGGTGTTGTATAAAGTCTGAGCCATTATTCAAAGACATACTACATTCCTCACATTCATAGGGTCTCATATCAACATGCATTGAATGATATGAACTAACTTTTGAAGTTCTACTAAGGCCCTTCCGATATTCCTTATGGTCATAGACTTTCTTGCCAGTATGGCCTTCTTGCTGTGTAATGAATTTTGAACCCTGTCCATAGGCATTTTTATATTTTTGGCATTCATAAGATTTCCCTTTGGTATTAAATGTTTGATGTAGAGGAAGAGATGTATGCTGACTGAAAGGGGGCATGTGTTCAGAGATGTGGCTAAAATGTCTTTTCTGAGATCCCTGTTTAAGTCCATGCTTTGTAAATTCTTCCATTATAACCCATTGGGATGAATCTATTTTATAGTTATCCTTTTTCAGAGATAATTCCTTGTTCTCACATCTAGATTTATATTCTGAAAGAAAACACATATAAAAACATTCATTTTTTTTGCAGGGGAGAAGACAAAAACTTAGAAAAGGCATAATTACATTGACATTAATGTTTATAAATGAAAATAGGATTTATAGTTCTTATATGGTGGTGCAATTTGAGAGATAAAGTATAGAAACTGGAAAGCCATATGGGAAGGCACAGGGGAAGGTGATCAGAAAAAGATTAAATCAATGATTCTTAAATTTTGGAATAAATTTAAAGTATACTTTGGCAAAAACTCAAAAGTCTGATAACCTAGTCTGTTAGAAGTTTATAGCTCAGTAGCCTCTCTCACAATTCAGTATAGCAAATTAAAATGATACAATTACCATACAGGGATATTTGCCAGTTTCTAGCAAAATTATATAATTCTTTATCCCTTGAATAAGCAATCCCAATTCTAGAAACCCAAACATATACTTCTGGAAAGAATCTGTAGAGGTTCACAAGTTATCCACTATAGAACTATTTTTTTAATAATAAATTTATTTTTATTGGTGTTCAATTTGCCAACATACAGAATAACACCCAGTGCTCATCCCGTCAAGTGCCCCCCTCAGTGCCCGTCACCCATTCTCCCCCACCCCCCTTCCTCCTCCCCTTCCACCACCCCTAGTTCGTTTCCCAGAGTTAGGAGTCTTTATGTACTATAGAACTATTTGTAAGAGCAAATGACTATAATGAATCAAATAGCAAATGACTATAATGAATCAAATAGCCACCAAATTACTAATACTTGAACTCAGTATAGTGTATGCTCACAATAGAGTTCTAAGAAACTTTCTAAGGAAATGAGAAATATATATATATTATATGAGAAATATATATAATATATAATAATAATATATATTATATATTATATATTCCTATTGAATGATCTTCATGACTTTTTAAAGTAAAAGAACAAGGTGGAAGAAACAGTGTATGCTACTGCTATTTATCTAAGAAAAGAGATATATTAAGATACATGCATAGATGCTCACACTAAACAAAGAAAGGAAAAATCATGAAGTTTATGAAAGGTATACTATATTGGAGGGAATGAAAACAATGGGGATGGGGTAAATTCAAATATACCACAGAAATATAGGGGAAATTGATATTAGGTGAGAGATATGGGGAACTCTCTATACTATTTTTGCAGCTTTTTGGCAAATATAAAATTATTCCAAAATTTAAAATGTTGGGGGAATCCCTGGATGGCTCAACAGTTTAGTGCCTGCTTTTGGCCCAGGGCATGATCCTGGAGTCCCGGGATTGAGTTCCACATTGGGCTCCCTGCATGTAGCCTGTTTCTCCCTCTGCCTGTGTCTCTGCCTCTCTCTCTCTCTCTCTCTCATGAATAAATAAAATCTTTAAAAAAACAAAAATAAGTTCTTTTAAAAAGAAGAAAAAGTGATGCCCATAAAAATCATGAAAAAAAATGAAAACATACAGTAGTGCTATTTCTATTAAACACTTCCAGAAAGGTGTGTAGCCACAGTGATAAGACTAGAAAGGAGTATCAAAGTTAAAAACATAGGAAAGCAAGGAACAAAACTGAAAATATTTATAAATTTTGTGACTGCATGGAAACTCTACTAAGTATTGGAATTAACAGTAGAGTTATTATTATTAGAATTAAATTAACTTATCTTTCTTGGTGTTATATGTTGATTTTTGCCATAACTCATTAATTATTGGAATTATTAATAAGTTAATTTTATATATCTTTTTTAATTTTGCCACCATATCTAAATGGAAATATTTCTACAATAACTTGTTAATAATTATCAAAAGAAAACCAGGTCAGGGCACCTGGATGGCTCAGTCAGTTGAGTGTCTGACTCTTAATTTTGGCTCAGGTCATGATTTTAGGTTTGTGAGATCAGCATCGGGCTCCATGCTGAGTGGAGTCTGCTTAAGATTCTCTCTCTCTCCCTCTCTGCCCTCCCCCCACTTGCTCTCTCTTTCTCTCAAAAACAAAAACCAGGACAGCAAAGAAGAGTGCAGAGAGAATAATATCCCAGGTAAAAGACAGAAGGGGAATTGGGAATGTAAATGTGAACATGCTCTATTTCTGGAGGAAAAAGGCAGAAAGGATTGATCAGAATACCCCCAACACCCCGCCCCCAGAAGTTACCTAGAATGAGTGTAGCAGTAAATGAAGTAGATAGGAATGTAAACATAACTTCTTTTTTATTAAAGATTTTATTTATTTATTCATGAGATACAGAGAGAGGCAGAGACACAGGCAGAGGGAGAAGCAGGCTCCATGCAGGGAACCCAATGTGGGACTTGATCCCGGGTCCCTAGGATCATGCCCTGGGCTGAAGGCAGCACTAAACCACTGAGTCACCCAGGCTGCCCACATAACTTCTTTACATATATTTTTATAATGATTTTTGAAACATGTAAATGTTTTATATATTCCAATTATAAACTAAAAAAAATCTAAATGCAATAGTTAAGTGGTATATTAAGTTGAAAATGCACAAAAAATACTTAATTTAGCAACTTTACAAAGGGTACTCTGACTGGAAATCCTTAGCGTAGCACATCCTAATGGAAAAAGGGAAAGAAAACTGTAATGAATCTTGAACATGACTTCAGGTAGGTTTTTCAGTCAGTAGTTGCACTGTTATTCTCATTTTGATAACATTCTGTGGAATTTGGGGCAGAAGACTTGAATAAATGTACTCACACTGTGGGAAATAGAGTTTCTACCATTCATGAAAAGGTTACAAAACTGAAATGCAGAAAAGTGAGAATCTTGTCTTTCAGATTTCAATTAGAGTTATTAGTATGATTCAGTTATAAAAAATATGTTCCCTGTCTCTTTGCACTTAATGGATAGAAAAGCAATGATAATCCAGTAGTAATGAGCCCAGTGACCACTGATGTTAATCAATGAAAACCATTCCTTATTAAAAGAAACTAAGGCTTCTTAATGAGCTGGTTAATTCCAAGTTGGGGGAAAGAATAATATGAGACTGGAACATATTTTTGTGCCAAAAAACAGAAGGTCATTAAAGACTCATGCATCCCTGAAAAAGGATGCAGAAGCCACCTGAAATGGGCTTTCAATGGCTAACCATGAATGATAGTTTAATCATAAAAAAAAGATTGATTACCATGGGTTATAAAATATTGATTTTTAAAAGAATCAACGAATCTGTAGTGTTTCTCAACAAAAATGGAGAGGAAAAGCTTTTTTTTTCTTTAACAAAGCAAGGCCAATTAATAAATGCAGAAAGAAAGTGATATAAGTAGAACTTCACTTTTTTTATAAGCTCAATTTAATAATTGTTTTGAATAAGAAAAAATGAATAACAAACACTTTGGGTGAAAAATTTCTAGAGTATAATTACACGGTCTCCAAGTATTACTACATGGATTATTTAGTAATGATAAGTGGGAAAATGTACCTTTCTAATGGAAAGATCTGGTAGTCATCTCCAACAACCTGATCAAAATTACCATTAGTATAATGAAAAAACTTGACTTTGCATTTTGATATCATGAATTAAGAAGTGCACAACCCTAGGGGCACCTGGATGGCATACTTGGTTAAGCAATTGACTCCTGGTTTGGACTCAGGTTATGTTCTCAGGGTCATGAGATGAGCCCCACATTGGGCTCCATGCTCAGAATAGAGTCTGCTTGAAGTTCTCTCTTCCTCTCCTGCCTTTCCCATTTGTGTGTGCTCTCCCACTCTCTCTCAGAAATAAATAAATAAATCTTTTTAAAAATGAAGTACACAATCCTAATTAAGTATCAGATCAGACGAAATTGCCTAATGTGACTCTACTCATGGGGCTGCAATTAGATAAATCCTGAATGTAAAATATTACAGGACAAATTAACTCTCACTATTGAAAATATTCTTATTTTGAAAAACAACAAAAAAATATGCAAGACACTGTTCTTGATTCCAAGATGAAAACAGCATAGAATAATTTATTTTTTAAAAGGTACACGTTTCTGAACATGATGCAATAAAATTGGACATATGTATTATATACCTTGCTGGAAAAGATTTCAAAATAGTCTTCTTTTAAAAAATCAATCATGAAAAATGTGAAAAATTTATTTACAAAAGTATAGAAGAAAGGAAGTTTATTTTTTTAAAGATTTTATTTATTTATTCATGAGAGACACAGAGAGAGAGGCAGAGACACAGGCAGAGGGAGAAGCTAAGGGAGAAGCAGGCTCCATGCAGGGAGCCCAATTCAGGACTAGATCCCAGGACCCCAGGATCACTCCCTGGGCCGAAGGCAGGCACTCAACTGCTGAGGCACCCAGACATCCCAGGAAGTTTCAATTAGAAATTGAAATTGGAGAATATGGAAGACAACTTCATTATGCAAATATATTTATATTATAATATTGATATATCTAAAAGCTTATTAAGAAAAGAAGGCAGGGACCCCTGGTTTGCTCAGTGGTTTAGCGCCTGCCTTTGGCCCAGGGCGTGATCCTGGAGTCATGGGATTGAGTCTCACATCAGGCCTGCATGGAGCCTGCTTCTCCCTCTGCCTATCTCTGGCTCTCTCTCTCTCTCTCTCTCTCTCTCTCTCTCTTTCTTTCTCTCTCTGTGTCTCTCATGAATAAATAAATAAAATATTAAAAAAAGAAAGGAAGGCATATGACAAAGTGTTTTAGAGAAAATCCATGATGCATTTATATACATCTAATGTGTATTTGTATATATAAATACATGTAATATGTGTGCTATAGTTAGCTATTTATGGGATGTAAAAACTCACTTTAAAAATTGAATTTAAAAAGTTAACTTCTATCTGTTCACAAGCATTTAAGATGAAAGTATGTTTACTATACTCCCCTTGATTTGACATGGAGAGGCAAAATAGCTTTTGAGTTAAGAGATGTACAATTTGCTTTTAAACCTTATCTCCAACACTTACTAGTTGTTGGCTTTGGACAAGTTACTTCAAGTTTTTGTGTCTCAGTTTCCTCTTCTGTAAATAGGAAAAATAATATTTTTGAAAAATAAAAAGCCTAATCACATCACAGCTCTGTTTAAAATCTTCTACTTCTTTCCATCTCACTCAGGAAAAGTTTAATCACAATTTACAAGGTCATCATAAACTGACTCTTTCTATGTGCTCATACCTCTCTGATCACAGATCAAACTCCTCTCCTCTTTGTTTACTCATTCCCCCATACTGGCCACTTTGGTACTCCTCATACACAATGAGCCTGCCTGCTTCAGGACTTTTGTACTTACTGTGCCCTTTACCCTGAATCATCCATGTTTATGACCTTTTCCCTCTCTCCCACTCTATTTTATGCTGATTGCATGCATCATGCAATTATTTGATCCTCCTCCCTTAGTTCAATTTTGTCTTGTCTACAACCTCTGCTGTCCCATTGCAAGCACATAACCTTTATACCCAAAACTCTCTACAAAGGTGACTGCAATCACTCCCAGGGCTCCAACTATTATAGCTCTGTGAAACTTTTCCACCTTTCAATCTTTAGTTATTTTTCCTGGTTGTGGCATTTGAACAGCAATCAATTCTACAATTGCAATTAATTCTACATTTTGAAAGATATTTATGGATTTTTTAAAGTTTTAGATTTAAATTCCAGTTAGTTAATGTGCAACGTGCAGTATAATATTAATTTCAGGTGTATAATATGGTGATTCAACACTTCCATATAATACCTGGTATTCATCACAGCAAGTGCACTCCTTAATCCCCATCAACTATTTTCCTCAATCCCTATGCTATAAATTTTTTCATAGCTGATATATTTTATAATGTCTATGTTTCCTAGAAAAATATTCTCCACAACACCGAATATAAGGAAATGTTGGCTCAAAGAATGAATACATGAATAAAATTAATTTAAAAATGGAATGTATTTAATACCAAAATGTTTAAAGGAGTGACATATGTATAGACCAAAAGGCAAGAAAGAATGAACTAATGGGAATTAGATCTCACATAAAAGTAGATGTTTCTAAAAAAAAAAAAAGGTAGATGTTTCTCATTAAAATTACTAGGAATAAACAGAAAATAAGAGAAAAGAAGCATAGATAGTATTAAGTTGAAGGTGAAAGTGTGGGCATTTGGAAGTTCATGATGATGAGGATTACTTTTCTTAATAGTTGTGGGTGTTTGAGGGGAAATTCCTCCAAGCATCTCAAAGATGTGGTCTCCTCACTGAGCATCTGGTTTATACCCTACATTCCTCTTCCCTTACATAATCCTCAATCACTTACCTAGGTACGGGCCCCTTGTCAGCTCACCGTCAAAAACACTCCAAGGCTCCTTCCCTTGCTCCAATAAAGAGATCACATCTGGCTTGGGAATGCAAATTCCTACTCATAAGAGAACAAAAGAGACTTTTTATGTTGTAGCTGTTTCAGGACTCAAATCCTATCCTGCGATCAGCAAATAAAATATGATGTCACTATTGGAAGGGCCACACAAAAAAAGAAAAGGTAGAGTTTTGGCCGTAGGCCCAATGACACCATACATTCCCAACTCTACAAAGCTCATTTCTTTAGGAATAGGGAAAAGAAACACATAGAATATATGAAAGAAGTTGAGAAATTCTTCTCAGGGGAAGCAAATATTCAGGAGGGCTGTAGACTTTTTGGAGAAAGATATACTTACCGACTGAGACCAGGTTGCTGTAATTCTCCAACATTACATATTTGTACAAATTCCTTTGAGTTGAATCCAGGCATTCCCACTCTTCCTCAGAAAAGTCTATAGACACATCCCTGAATATCACAAATCCCTGAAACAAAAACCCTGTGTTATACTTGTATAATGAAAATAAATGACTTCAAGGTAGAAGAGATGAGAAACATAAAAAGAGAAGTAAAGGAGAGTTTTAGAGGAAAGGAGTGAAATGGAACACAAACAGGTTGGGCTCAATACCTGTGATAAGGGTGAAGATTAGAGTTAGTGTTATTCAATGAGCAGGCCTCACACAACCCAATTTCTGCAGATAAAAACTCCTGTACAGAATGAGAGAATTCCAAGATCCATTCTGGTTTTAAAATATACTAAATACAATTAAGAAGAATATCTATTTAAAAACCTAACTGATATATAGTATATTCTCAGTAAAGGGAAGTACCCTCTTGCTTCCCCTTCCCCCCTGAAAAATCAAGTTATAAATAATTGGTAAGCTCTGGGAAAGGTATAAGAGGATAAAATTTTAGAATAACAAGAATATAGGGACACCTGGGTGGCTCAGAGGTTGAGCATCTATCTGCCTTTGGCTCAGGGCATGATCCCAGAGTCCTGGGATCAAGTGCCAAAATTGAGTCCCACATCAGGCTCCCTGCATGGAGCCTGCTTCTCCCTCTGCCTATGTCTCTGCCTCTGTGTGTGTGTGTCTCTATGAATAAATAAATAAAATATTTTTAAAAAAGAATATAAAGATCCTAACATTTTCAACAATCAGAAAGTAGGTCACATGAAAGGTACCAGAAAATAGAAACAGGATGCCCTGCTCAATAGTGCCTTGAAATGAAGAAACAAAATTAAAAATGTAACACATTTTGCAATACTGAGAATGAACTCTCTACTAGAGTCACTCTTAAGATTTTATTTATTTATTTATTTGAGAGAGAGAGAGAGGGAGGGAACACAAGCAAGGGGGAGGGGCAAAGGGAGAATGAGAAGCAGAATCCCTGCTGAGCAGGGAGCCCAAGGTGGGGCTCAATCCCAGGACCCTAGGATCATGACCTGAGTCAAAGGCAAACTCTTAAGCAGCTGAACCAACCAGACACCCCAAGGTCTACCCTTTCAGCAAATTTCAAGTACATAACATAGTATAATTAACTATAATCACCATGGTGTACATTAGATACCCAGAGTTTATTCATATATAACCAAAGGCCTCTACCCTCTGACAAACATATCTCTATCTCCTCCAACCCAGTCCTTAGTAACCTCCATATTATTCTGCTTCTGTGAATTGGACTTTTTTTTTAGATCTCACACATAAGTGAGATCATTACAGTATTTGCTTTTCTCTATGTCTTCTAGATATATCAATGTTTTTGCAAATGGCAGGATTTCCTTCCTTCTCATGGGTGAATAATATTGTACTATATATGTCCCTGTCTATCTATCTATAAAGATAGCCATGTCTATTTTATCCATTCATCCATCAGTGGACACTTAGATTGTTTCCATATCTTGGCTATTGGCAATAATGCTGCAATAAAAATGAACATGGTAGTGCAGATATCTCTTCAGGATACTGATTTTGATTTCTTAGGATATATACTCCGAGGTAGGACTGCTGAGTCACATAGTAATTCAATTTTTAATTTCTTGAGAAATCTCCATACTGTATCCCACAGTGGCTGTGCCACTTTATATTTCAACCAACAGTCTATAAATGTTTCTTTTTCTCCACTTCCTCACCAATGATTAGCTATTGTCTTTTTGGTAAAAGCCATCTTAACAGGTACGAGGTGATATCTCCTTGCAGTCTTCAGCTTTCTCTAGTGATTAGTGATGTTAAGCTCTTTTTATACCAGCTGGCCATTAATATATCTTTTTTGGAAAAATGTCTATTCAGGTCCTTTCCCCATTTATAAATCAGGGTATTTGTGTGTGTGTGTGTGTGTGTGTGTGTGTGTGTGTGTGTTTGTTGTTTTTTTTTTTTGCTATTGAGTTATATAAATCCTTATAATTTTAGATATTTACGGTTTTAGATATATGGTTTACAAATATTTTCTCTCATTCCATGCATTGCTTTTTCATTTTGTTTACGGTTTCCATTGCTAGGCAGAAACTTTTTTGTTTGATGTAGTCCTACCTGTTTATTTTTGCTTTTGTTGCCTATGCTCTTCATGTCATATCCAAATTCATTGCCCAGATGAATGTCAAAAACCTGTCTCCCTATGTTTTCTTCTAATAGTTTTATGGTTTCAGGTCTTACATTTTCTTCACTTCTTCATTCTTTTTTTCTCTCCTTCACTTTTTCCTGACTGGATAATGTCAAATGACTTGTCTATGACCTCACAGATTCATTCTTCTGCTGGGTTAAGTCTGCTGTTCATGCATCCTATTGCTTTTTTTCATTTCATTCACTGTATTTTTCAGCTCCATATTTTGTTTTTCTTTTTCATGATTTCTATCTCCTTGTTAAACTTTGTTAGTATATTGGTTTTCTGACGTCATTGAATTATCTTACTGTATTTTCTTCTCACCGAGCCTCCTAAAACAATGATTATTGAATTTTTTATTGGGTAAATTGCATATCTTTATTTCTTTAGGGTCAATCACTGTGAAATTATCATGTTCCCCTGGTAGTGCCATGTTTCCTTGATGTTCCTTCAAGTTTTACATTGTGTGTTCACATTTGGAGAAGCAGATTCTTCCTCTAGTCTTTGCTGACTTGCTTCAAGAGAGAAATACTTTCTTTCTTTTTTTTTTTTTGAGAAATACTTTCTTTCAGCCTTTTCTGTGGACCTGTATTCTAAGGTAGTAAAGGATGTGTTATATCAATGCCAGGGTGTAAAAGAGCAAAAAGTTACACAAGAAATCAAGAAAGAGGAAAAAAAAGCTTTAGCATAGTGGCAAGAGAAGATTCCCATATAAATATAAAATACAAAGTGTAGGACAACAGGTGCTAAGTAAGCATAAAGAAAAATCTGTCCACATGGGATCAGTAGGCAGATGGAAGACTATGAGACACTCCCCAGCTAACAATGTTCTACCCTGTGAAAACTGCATTTTGCATTAGTGAAAATTAACATTGCTTCTAAGCTTTTGCTATAATTATACAAGCAATGTTTCCATGAACAATATCCTTGTGTGTTTGTCTGACATCACCAGGATAAAATCCTAGAATTGGAAGTGCTGGCCAACACTACATGGATTTTAAAGTTGGAAAGAAATGTCCAACTGACCTCTATTGAGGCAATACCTACCAATTCATTCTACCCACCTGGATGGTGTGAGAATATTCTTCCCCACACTATGGCTGGCATAATTAATACCAAATTTCTTTATCTTTGCCAATGTAAGAAGTAAAACTGGAAGTTCTCATTTATATTTCAAATATTTATTTTTTATATATATTTTTTATTTTATTTTATTTTTATTATTTATTTTTATAATATTATAAGGTTGAGTACTTCTGTCTAGTTCTTACTGCAGTTCCTATACTATGAATTTTTTTTTATATTCTGGCTAGATCTTAATGAGGTTTTTGTGCTTTTCTCTTATTGAGATTAGTAATAACTTATAATTTGCTACAAATGTACCATAGTTTTGTCACTTGTAGAATAGGCAAAAAGTCATACTTGTCAATCTGACAAGGGACTCCTGGGTTCTCATTATTAAAAAATATGACATTCTGTTCAATCTGACATGGAACATTCACCAAGATAGACCACATTCTGGAGCATAAAATATACCCTAACACTTAAAAGAATAGAAATCATATAATATCTACTCTCAAATAATAATAGTATTAAGCTAGAAATCAACAGAAAGATAATTAGAAAATTCCAAAATATAAGAAGATTGAACAGATTTCTAATAGATAGGTCAAAGAAGAACTTTCAAGAGAAATTTAAAAACATTTTAACTAAGTGAAAATGAAAACACAGACTATAAAAATTTATGGGATGAAGCAAAAGCAGTGCTCAGAGGGAAATTTATATATATTATGTATATATTAGAAAAGAAGACCTGAAACCAAAAATCTAAGTTCCACCTTAAGAAACTAGAAAAAGAAAAAATCCAAAGGAAGCAGAAAAAATAAATAATAAGAGAGCAAAAATCAATGAAGTTGAAAACAGGAAATCAATACAGAAAACTAAAAAATATTTTTAAAACATCAATAAAACAAATAAGCCTTTAGTTAGGCTAACTAAGAAAAATACAGAAGACATGAATTACTAATATAAGAAATGAAAGAGGGGACAGCATTCCATTGTATAGATATTAAAAGTTAATTAAAAATACAAGAAACGGGGATCCCTGGGTGGCGCAGCGGTTTGGCGCCTGCCTTTGGCCTGGGGCGCGATCCTGGAGACCCTGGATCAAATCCCACGTCGGGCTCCCGGTGCATGGAGCCTGCTTCTCCCTCTGCCTGTGTCTCTGCCTCTCTCTCTCTCTCTCTCTCTCTCTCTCTCTGTGTGTGTGTGTGTGTGTGTGTGTGTGTGTTTGTGACTATCATAAATAAATAAAAATTTAAAAAAAAATAAAAAATAAAAATAAAAAAATACAAGAAACATGCCCATACATTTGATAAATGAAATGGAATTATTCTTTGAAAGATATAATATGCCAAAACTCATACAAGATGAAGAAGACTGGATAGCTCTGGTGGCGCGGCGCTTTAGCGCCGCCCACATCCCGGGGTATGATCCTGGAGACCGGGATCGAGTCCCGTGTCGGGCTCTGTGCGTGGAGCCTGCTTCTCTCTCTGTCTGTGTCTGTGCCCTTCTCTGTGTGTGTGTGTGTCTCTATGAATAAAAGAATAAAATCTTTAAAAAAGAGATGAAGAAGACTATCTGAATAGGTGTAGACATATAAATGAAATTGAGTCAATAATTCATAACCTTCCAAAACAGAAAGCACCAGGCCTAGATGGATTCACCGGTTAATTCTATCACACAATTGAGGAAGAAATTGTTCCAATTCTCTACAATGTCTTTCAGAAAATAAAAGCAGAAGTATTACTTCCCAAATCATTCTGAGGTCAATATTACCCTAACCCCAAAACCAGATAAAACATTACAAAAAAAGAAAGCTGCAGAC